TCCCCTTCGTCGCTTGAAATATTGTAATTTGCTCTCAAAGCTCTAAGCAGTGAGTTCACAGTTGTCGAACATGCTTGATTGAAGTTTATTTCGGAGTCTTCCGAATCGAAACTTAACTCTGACTCCAGTGACAAAAAAGAAATGATTCTGAGACAAAACTTGCACGTTTTAGTCCCAAAATACATCAGAACGATTAGTTTTGCGTTCTATTTTCTCAAGCAAATACAGAGAGTTGACTGAGGCGCTATTGTGTTTGGTTCCTGGGTAGACGTCATCAGGTACCGCCGCCCCAGACTCCCTAAAACGCGGTTGTGAAACACTTCAAGCACGACTTTGAAAGGGCATAGAAAATCGAGGATTCAACCAAATTCAAAAATTTATTGGCCCAAATGCTTCAAATTAAGTCTAGATTCGTTTTAGCAAAAAAAAAAAATGGGGGGTTAGGTGCACTTTGAGTACATACATGTATGTTGGACTCTACACTGCCTGTACACTGGGCACAAGCATTTTAGGCAGGTAAAATTTATTGAATGAATAATAATTTAAAGACTTGTTTAGTACCATTTACATTGACGTTTTTTTCCTTATCGACAGCAATGGGGTGTATTCACATATCAATGGTAAATCAGAGGTACCCAAAAGAGCAGGTGCAGAGTTGAAGATGAGCACTTTCTTGCTCTGATAAGGGGGGAGGGAAAATATTCTGTTCTTTGGGCATATTTTTTTTTTTCAGCAAGTGTGTGTGAAGCCGAGGTGGAGATGGTGGACTCTTAACCTAGACCTACATGTTTCAAGATGACTTTTTTCCCAATTCTCCCTACGCTTTTAGGATCAACCCCAGCAACCTTTAGGCTAAGCTCCTAACTTCCTATATAAGGACGCCCAAAGGCCTATTTAAAAAATTCCTTGGGCAGCAGCCTTGTTACTGCTAAATTTTTAATTAAAATAACCAACACAATTACAATCTTTCAGTTTGTTCAACTTACACATAAAAATATTACACAACTGCTTACCAATCACTTGTCCAGCAATACAGGTATCAACTAAAACACGCATCTGAACCACTGGGCTAGAGTAGACAAGACCAATATTACATTAGTGACTAAGTTACTAACGGTGGGGGCAGTGTAAAATCAACTTTTAGTAACCTACTTGGAGAACATAAGCTAGGAAACTGATGATTTCAGATATTTATGATGCCCCAAGTACTTACACTGGATTAAATGCAACATCTGAACCTAAATTGCTTTTCACTCAAAAGCAAGGAATCCTCATTACAAATGAAGCCAGCCAACAGTTGCTGGTGGGTTTTTCATACCTTCTCTTTGCTGGATCAGTTTCTAAACGCATTGTTCTGTGAATGCTGAGGTTAGCTTCAGTACACTGCTCAGGAGATCCAACAATCTCAACAACCTACAGAAAATAAGATTTAGATCAGTTCCACAAATACCCTGTCACACAATTCTGTGGCAAAACAGAGTGTTGCATGCATCAATGTGAACTGGAAAAGAACTGAATTGTACTACAGTACTACATCTTATCACATTTCACAAAATTTCAACTCCAATATCTCAAGCTCACTTCTTGTTTAGACTAGACTCCAACGTCAAGAGTCTTGCCTAGAGACACAGGACAGAGTTAGGCCAAGTTCAGATGCCGTACTTCACATGAGCTGAATCGAATGCAAATGAGAAAAATCCTTTGTTCTCCCTCATTAGCATTCAATTCGACTCATGTGAAGTACGGCATTTGAACCAGGCATAAGTGGACCAGAAATTTCTTTGTTATGAACATGCAATTTGTGTGCTTTCTCAAAATAATTTTACATTTTAATTTTACAATTTTATGATAGTTTTACATAGGTTCTTTCCACCATAAAAACCCTTGTCAAGAATACCACATTTTAAGCATTTAATGATCCTCCCTTCTTCTCGAAAAATGTGACTTAAAAGCTGATATATATAAACAATAGCTTCCCAATGACTTTCAAAATATGCACAGATATTTGTCTGCAGACATTATCTGTTCTGAGAAGCGAACAGTTTTCCGAGGGCGTAGCTCAAGGAAAACTGTGAGCTTTGAGGAACAGATAATATGCAAGGACAAATATCCAAGCATATTTTCAAAGTCATGGAGGCTATTGCAGTTTTGAAAATTGGGGAATATTCTCAGATATTCCTTAGTTCTCGGTTGCACGATGCATTTACACCAATTGTGCGCAAGCAAAAATATTTGATGGATTATAATGTTACATAAAACCTCACCTTTTCAAAGGGACTCTTGTCATCTTTCTTGTGCACAGTGATGCTTAAAAATAGGAATTAAACAAATTAGTGATAAAAATGACTTAACATCTTGTTGCAGGGTTCAGCAATTTCCCTTCACTAACTGCTGAATTCCTACCAAATAAATGGAAAGGAAAGTTGCTTTCATCAGCAATGAAAACATCATGGGAATACTATAAACTCAATACAGTCATGATCATGTACGTGACCTGAACCACGTTTCCAAAGCTTCTGACAAAAAGTTTCTCTGTTTCATCGTTAGTACAACCCTATGAGCTTGAATTAAAAGTGGTGCTCATCTCTGCACAGCATCCAAACAGACCAAGTTCACTGGATGACAATTACAGTGTTTCTTGAAAAGAAATTTTCATTCCATTCACAAGAAAAACTTCACAAGAAATAGGCAATGCAAAACTTAAAATAATCAGAAACCCAACCATTCGCTACTTTCTAGGGGTGCTTTCCATTCAACCAAAAGTTCCAATACGGGACAGAAATTTCCTGGGACAGGTTCCAGAAAATCCGGAAATTGTTAAATTTCCAAAAACCAAACCAATCAACCAAAAATTCTGGAAATTTCAGAATGAAAATCAAATGGAACAGAAATTTCCTACACCTTGTACCTTGGCTAAGAAATGTAAAAAGATTTATAACACATGCAGAGCCATTGTACCACTCATTAAATCCTTTGTTTTGTTATGTTTTTGCTGCTCTTGTGGTTTGTATAAGGTCCCTGCCGTCATGGGCTATAAAAAGTCACCTATTCAACATATCAGTGCTCTGTATGTTTCTATATTTGCAGTTTAAACCTTAAAGTGAAAAATTCCAAGCGAACAAAAGAGCGAGTTATTGCTTTCCACTGTGATGCAGTCAAGCAGAAAATTCTGTTCCATTTTCCCCAGAAAATTTCCACAAATTCACACTGGAATTCTTAGTCAAATGGAAAGCACTCCAGTGCTCAAATATTTTCAGAGAGCAAACAGTGCAAGGAGAGCAAAACGTTGTCAAATTTCTCTTTAAATGTCAAAAGCAATCTATAGAATGTGACTTCTGTGTTATGTTCTGATCTGGATGCAATGTCACTGAAATTAGTGAAATTGTTGGGTTCTGTTTTCTTCAGACTACTCAGAGGAGTAGGAAACATTGCCTACTGTGCAAGGTACTTACTCTGTTTCCGTTTTTTCTGTGAGATCTTTAATTTTCTTTCCTTCTTTACCAATAATGGCACCCACCATTGTGGGTGGTACAAGAACCCTACAAAAATTAAAGTCAAAAAACTTTAATTTAGTGTATTCTAATGTACTTCTTATCAAAGAAGCAATTTTTGCCATAACAAAATAATATCATGGATTTCCATCTCTAGAGCAGTGCATGAAATGTAGGAAGTAACCAGTTGAAGTCCATTAGCCAACTGTAACACTGGCTGGGCTGTGCACACGCCCACTGTAACATTTGAAAAAAATACAAGTACCAAAACTGGAATTGCATATACCTGATGAAGTAATCAGTATCTCTTGGCTGTCTGTTGCGACTTGATCTTGGTTTTCCACTTCTTGAACCATTTCTTCGATCTCTTCCTCCATCGGGAGACTGTGAATTCCCGATATCTTGCAATTCATGATCATCTTCTCCCATATAAGGAAACTAAGAGAAGTATTCCAACAAGGCAATTTGCTTCTTTTTTTTTTTTCACAAATTCTCAAACAATTTACAAGATTAACATGCTCTTTGTAGTTAAGGTATCAGTATACTCCATAATTGTCCAGCTTTAAAAAAAATTGTTCTTCCCTTTTTTAGACATCTTCTTGTGATTCTTTCATTTAAAAAAATTTTCATGAAAAAAGATTGATTCTAAGCAAAGTTATAAATGAAAAACATTTCTTTGCACTTATTACCTTTAATTGATAGCTGTCAACGGGTTGTCACAAGAATTACATTAAAAAGCACCCTGCAAGGAAAGCCTTTTCTTATGGTACACATACTTTGTGCCATCTCCTCTCCACTCAAAAGAGAGATAAAGAGGCTCTGCTTGCAGGGTGATTAAAAAGTTGTGTGACAGATTGCCACCTAGTATGATGGTCAAACATTTGTGTTTGGTAGTTGACAAGCTGTGTTGATTTGAGCATAAATATGTCATCAAAGAAATGCAAAAGTTCGTGTCCATGTGCAAGTGTGAAGAAAGCACCACGGAGAAAGAGGCCGGGGCAGAAAGGTTTCAAAAACATACAATCAAAATTGGGCTGATGCACTAGCTGGCTAGCGACAAAGGTTCCTGCTTCAAACAGAAGTTGCTTGCACTGGATGAGAGAGACATTCGACATTCTCCAAGAACTATTTCCTTGGTCCTTTTGCTGTTTAAAGCGGTAACGGTAACATCTCAAAATTTGGAGAGACTTGGAGAGAATGTTGCCCGATAATCAGGGAAAAAAACTGTGTCAGGGAATTTTTGGTTTTTGCTTCTTTCAAAAGTTATGACTACTTTAGTGAAGAGAATACATGTTATATCACCTCTCAAAGTTTAACTGCATGTCAAAAACAAACCAGACAAGTAATCACAATTTCCCGACAACATTTTTTAGAGAAAGGTGCCAAGAAGACATCATGATGTTGATCCCATCCTCTTGCTCAAATCCAACCAGCAGCATACTTGATTAGTTAACCTCTGTACCATGGGAAATAGAGTGCTATATTCGGAAAACCTTATTTTTTTTATTTTAATAAGTATACCTTTGTAATTTACAATTCTTGAGCTTTCAAAAATATATACTTTATTGGGGTTTGCATCAAATGTCCGACCATAAAGTGGTGCCAACGAGTGATGGTCATCTGGGATATGCTGATACCTTAACCATTTGCTCAACAAACATTGAAGCTTGGTGGCTAAAGAACTCATTCAAGTGTGAAGGAGCAATGTGTGGGTTGATTATGAGCAAGGTTTTGTGAATACTTCAAACTCAGTTAATCTCTGCTTAAAGAGCCCTGCCCAGGCTAACTTGCACTGTCATTAATCAATACTTTTTAAGGTCAATAACCTTTAAATTCACAAAGCTAAATAAATTTGACTACAATAAAATAGAAGGACATGGAAACAGAGCAACGGCCAAGACATCTCCCTCTAAAGCCTTATTGCCCACAAGTTCACAACCATGACAAAGAAATATCACATGTACAGAGTTATAAATATTATTACCAGAAGATAAGATTTACACAATTTTGAAAAAACACTTGTGGCTAAAGAATTGAGAGGACATGTTTTACAAGCTGCTCTGTTTCTCTAAGTCATAGTAAAAAATTCGACACTTGTGCTAGGATACCTAAAAGTATAGAAAACATGTCTCAAGGGGACAACACTTGTCTGTCAAAAATTATCACAGTTTTAAAACAGTCATATCTATTAGGGGATACAACCAACGGTGAACACTTGAAAAAGTTGTGCCAACTAAACATTGTTACTGTGTCATGCAACTGTTTCAAAATTGTATCATCTATGTACCCTTAACAAGTTCCAACTGCTTCTATTTCAGACAGTGTTTTTTTTATGAAATTCACAATTCCAACTTACCCTACCCATCATAAAGAAGATAAAGTGCAAGTCAAAAGTTGGTATCACACAAAGAATCTGACAAATCCTTGATCATCTCTTGGTTCAGTGGTTGAAATTAGCATGTGTCTACTGTTTGACTAGTAAATATTTAATGCATTATTGACTAAAGGTTCTTAAACTCAGTTCCCTGTTTGGACAGACTGCATGCAATTCAGACTTGTGAACATGGTATTCTATGAACCTTTGCATGTATAATACAAAGTTTATGCAGAGATAATCCTTATATCTTGAGACTATTTCTTTGCTGCTTGAACTACTTCATAGACATCAACAAAGGGTTATGAATATTTCATGCTTTACAAATCAATTCATGTTATCAACTGAGTAAAAAAGGAACACATCAAGTTTTCAGAATCTTCTTTTACCAGGAGCACATGCATGCAAAATTATTTCTCATCCAACAGAATTGACAAAATCCTTTCTAACTGTACCATTTGTGTGAGTAAAATTTCAATGATTTTTTGGAAAAGAAAAAAATCAAATTTAAAATAAAAAAGTCCTAAAACAGCATTAAGACAGCAAATTCAAAAGTCAGTTTAACATCACAAGTTATATAATGCAATTCAGACATATTTCAAAACTTATGGAGAACAGATTTTGCAGGGTAAATATGTAAACGTAAAACATATGACATGTTTTTAGATTTTCTTCAACTAGCAAACTGGTGTTTTATGGTGGCAAAAATTTTCTTAAATGGAAAGAGTAATTAACATAAGCAAAAGTACATGTTATTATGTACTTACATATCAGAAGCATATAGGACCATTAACTTTGGCTTTTAACAAGAATTTACATCTGATCTGCATTCAGATAACAACACAATTTTGGCATTTATCAGAAAATGAAAAACCCACAGCTATAAAATGTAACTGGCTTGAAAAAGGGAGAAAACTCTAAACAATATTTTACACACTTCCACCACAAAGGAAATGTTTGCAAATAAACATTGAGTGCAAGTTAAATTAACACCCATGCTACTGGTTTAAATGGGAAGCCACGAGGCTTTAAAAAACAGCCTAATCACCTTCACAGTAGTACAGGCTTAGACATAAATCTGTCAGGTCACTTTTAGGAAGATTCCTCTTGATATTTCAGACTCATTATCCCAACTTTGAATGGCTGATTAGCTTTAAGCTTCAATGTCTGAATTCAGTCCAGAAAACTGCTTCATGCATTAACAGGACAATACCAAGTAAATATGTAAGCTTAATGTGGGCTTAAGCCTGTCTTACTACGGGGGTCACCTCAGACTAGACGTGAATGTATTTTATGACTTCATCTCCTGGCTAAAACCTCACACTGCATGTTCATGCCTACAAATAATTTTAATTTGCAGACACCCTAAAAATGGTCACAAATGGCAAATCAAAACATCAATTTGACTAATATAGTATCTAAATATGAAATCATGTGAAGTATGGATGAGGAATGCATGTAGCAGCTCAGTTTTAATTTATAACTACAGCGACTGTACAACAAGCCAGGTTATAACTCTTATCAAGATTTAGCAACACAAAAAAAGTCTAGAGCCTCTAGAAATTAAACTGATCATCAAAAACTCTCCTTTTGGTAGCACCAGGTATTATGACAGGAAGCCTTTTGGTTAGCTACAGTACTGGAACTATTTGCTCACACTCCTAATCAGTAGTTTCACAAATTGATCAATTCTGAATAATCACATACCACTTAGTGTACAAAAGTCAGAGGTTGCATACTTGCCCTAACAGAAATATAACGAACCATAAATAGAAGACCAATAGAACTTCTCATCATTCATAGAATTCCCCTCAAACATAAGTGCTCCTGATTTTATCATTATTGAACTACCAGTGGATTGCAAACTTCACCAACTGAAAAAGTTGTGGAATCCAAACCTAAAGGCTAAGTTTCATTTGCTTAACTGAGTGTGATAAAAGTTACTAAAATTTTAAAAACCACAACGTTTTCGACCATACGGTCATCATCAGTGGTGTGATAAGTTTTCATCATGATGGTTACTATATGTTTCTTGGAGACAATTCCACCTTTTCACAATTAACAAGATTCAACCCATAAAGATGTCCATGGCAATGACAGAGGCCTTAAGAAAACTGTGTGATGTCAGACTTGTGAATTTTTATACAAATACATACATATATAACTAGAAACCACATATGGAACCATTGAGGAGCAACTATCGCCAGGATCAATGGTGTGCAAGAAGACACATCCATCTAGCCCTGCTGATCTAAACAAAGGGCAAATCTGAGGTTGGGCCACCACCTCAGTTTGGTTAGTCTTGCATTGTGCTTCATTATTATATCCCATGATTCCCTATTCTTTGAGCCCACATTCCCAAGCAACGAAAGACAGCGTGGAGAAACACCAATGTAATGACTAAAGTTCATAGATTAACTGCTTTTAAACCGATCAATTTTACTTTACTCCAGACATTTACCACCACACCTCAGCTTGTTAAACAGACCAACAATAAGTATATATATGTATACATATAACCACGTTTGTGTAACCTTTATGCGTTAATTCATGTAATAGCAACCATTTGGTAGACGCTTCAGTTTCAACCTTGTTGTTGTAGAGTACAATGTTTCTCGATTACACTGGTTTCAACAATCACTCTTTCTATGGAGGTTTTTTCAAATTTTACCATCCATTGGTTTAGACTGATGCATTTAAGCCAGAACAGTTTTGACCATAAAAACTCTGCTGGGAGTCACAAATATTTGACCACCAATCTTTACAACCTCTTTACTTTGTACACTGTACTCTCAGGCAAAGTATGGCATTTGAGAACTATTTTAAAACATGCAACAGAGAAGATTCATCTCTCTATGGTAACAATGCCTATAGCTATATTGTAAGACTTCTGCATACAAATTTCAATTCTTATTCTCGAGTCACATTAATACTGCCGTATTTGAACTTCATATTAGGTATTGTCAAGTGCAGTCTAGACATCCTTCTTTCTTATCTATATGTGTATTGTTACGCATTTTAGAGTGTACTCTGCATGTTAATCAGAATTTTAGGATGCACAATAAACAGAGTGAGCTACAACTGATCATGAGTGATCACCATAACTATTAAAATCGTTACCTGACTTGCTCCCTGTTCCAAAACTTGTCCAACAGCCCTAAAAAAAGAACAAATTTTAAATAAACGCAGCATGAGATATCACAAAGTAACAGAAAACAATCATAAACTCTTGTAAAATGAACTTGACAATTGCTAGCATCTGCGTTTAGATTTAATTTGGGACAAGGTATGGTGCTAAAATTAGCCAGCTTGTTAAACACGCCAACCAAATGGTGACTTTTTCACTGTTTGACGAAAACAAAAAATCCAACAGATCGCCTCAAACAATAATGCATAACAGAATGGAAAAAGAAAAGCTCAGGTCAAACAATCGCACATGCCAATGTGTCAGCTATAAAAGATTTTGCTTTCAATAAACATGGCCGTGTGTATTCACCTGAGCGGTATTTAATTACCTAGACCAAATACCAGACAAAAGAAACAGACAGAAGATTCAACCCCAGTTTGATTATTGGCCTTTACACATAGGTCAGCACGTGCATGGAGATAAACAAACAAATGCTATTTTAATTTCGTGTTTAAAAAAAATTCCCAGACTATTATTTACATAAAAACTTTGATGTCAAATGCAAACAACCTTCAGAAGTAAAACTTAATAGTACAATACTACAGAAAAAGAGTATCTCGACCATAAATTTCACCATCGTGTATGTAGGACATCAAAAAAAGCTACACTGGTGACCCCAAAGGCTCGACGTTTATTCAACTACTGCTTTCGCTATAGAGAACATAAGTGCTACACTTCTCCAGACTGTTTAGTCTTCTCTCGATGCAAATAAATAGCAGGCATAAAAAAATCTTTAAAAAAAGAAACCTGCATAGAAACATACGCACGAATGGCATACGCTTACCCTTGTGGTTCTTCACGTCCAGCGTACTCCATCATAATATCTATGTTTAGCTGAAAGGTCAGGGAAAACCCCGCAAAATTAACGTCAGTCACACAACAGATAAAGAAAATTCATAAGCGGGTACGTAAGTATGTTTTGAAGAAACTAGTGCTTCAAATGAAAATTTTAAGATTCTGTTTTACAGAAACGCTAGCAGAACACCTTATCATTGAGTGGAGTTTATTAATCTCTGCTACTTTAACCTCTAGTAAACAAAAAAAAACAAATTCAAAACTACAACTTATTACTTAAACAGTAACTGTCCACAGCAAGTTTTAATCTAAACAAGAAAAGGCCTCAAACAACACGACTTCCACTCTCAATTTTTGAAATAAGCTTTTACAATTTTATGATTAAACTTCCCCCTACAATAAATGCAAAAAAACTACAATGTACATAAATTTATGTTACAAAGCTTACGCAGAAACGCAACACTTTAGTATCTGTACTTTGTATATCTATACCTATATTAACAAATTTAATATTATCAGTATAAGACATCATCAGTTTGAAACTCTTAAGTAACGAGTCATTTGAAAAGGTAAACTTTTGATGTCTAGACTTTTCCGACACCCAAAGCTGAACCCTTCTGACCTACAATCGTGCCGAGCTGACACATTTTCGCGGGAATAACACTCGCAGCTGATGTTCCAGTTCACTGAAGACACTTTGAAAATTTGAACAGCTAAAGCAATAACTCTCGTTAGTCTATCACTTAAGTTCATTTTCAAAGTACCAACTCAAATGACAGACCTTACCAAAGAACAGAAAATATCAACACCTCAATGTCACTTGCAAGAACAACATTGGAAATTGTTCATTACAGTAAGTAAGAAATCAATGACTGGAAACAGGTTGTTGATTTCAAGATGTGCCCCAGTCAACCAGTAAAAAGACCCTAGAGAGGGAAACTAGTGAAGGAGAAGCTAATGATTTGATTTCTGAAAGGATTATTTGGAAAATCATCTCGATTCTAAACACAGGCAGTCGCACTGTATCTACAGTTCCTAAGACATTGGTCTTGACTCGAGGAAGCGTGAGATGCAGTCGTTACAAAGCAACATTAGGTTGGCTTCTCTTCAACCGTGTAAAGTCACGACATAGCATACATATCAACCAGCGTGGCTTCGTAAAGTAACAGCTCTTTTCATGCTTAATTACAAGTTAGAAAAAAAACCTTCGGTGTAACGATGGCAAGCAAACGGAGATCAAGTAAAGCAATTTTGAATCCCAATAGTTTCTGTGCTAACGAAGAAGTCACTTTGAGAAACCGGGATTCTCTTTTATTTGACGAATTCAACAAGTGTGTTGCTTCTTTGAGAGACAGACTGAGACCCAGCAACACTTCAGAATTTTCACCGAGTCGCGTCAATTTCAAAGCACTGACGCTTTCCATCCTTCAGCCCAACCCGTACCCGTGGCCAGCAGGCGTCAACATCGACATTAACAAAAGCCATTAAAACACTATCAATTTTTACAGAAGAAATTATTCATCAAACGTAATCACGAGAAGAAAAGTTTCAGTAGGTGTTTTAAATCCTTTTATAACTGGCTTTTTCGCTTGTGGATCGAGGGCAGGATTTGGCCCGCCGCGCGGCAAGCTTGAAATGCAACAAGACTTGACTTGATTATCATGCGAGGTGTGTGTAATTCATTTTTACCTTGTTTCAGCTCTTTCTATAAAGATGTTCGGTCTAAACAACTAGTTTATCTTACACGCAGGAACACTGAACTTTCAAGAACCCTGTAAATAAGAGCGGTTCTTGAAAAAAGCATTCAGAGAGATCAGCTATCGCTAGTCCAAGAGATCGACCGACGCTATGATATCGCCACAGAACACAATGAAGGATCAAGTGCGTATTAACGGAGATTTGTTTGCATTTTTAAACTTAAAAGATGTTTTAAAGTAACTCTGGTACATACTCACCTAAAATGGAAGGCTAAAATCCAAGATATAGCGTTGTTTCGACGAAAGTTATCCTATTCTACGCTACTATGACCAAACAAGACCTAGCAAATAAAATTTAGGGACATGTAGTTAGCTGTGGCGTATAGCATCGGTAAATTGGAACACTGGTTTTAGACAGGCCTTTCCATAGGATCAACCTCCATAATACACGGACCTAAACCTAAATAAACTGAAGTCTACACAAGAAGGAAACACTCTCTTCCACCTATGCAAGTCTCGGAAATCGAGATGCTTGTCTACAACCCAGTCAGCTGCATGGAATTTTTGAACCAAAGAACCGACTGCACGCAATTGCATTGACGTTTCTCACTCCAAACACGGGGTAGTTCTTGAGAAACACAAAGAAGGATAAACTCTGCGAAATAAGCAGTGCAAGAAGCAGCTTTCAATACAAAAAAATTGTGGTTTAACTCCTTGTTCAGCCTCAGTTGTCTTACGATAAAATATCTTGTGTACTACAATAGAGTGTTGTGTTCGTAGCAAAGCCGACAAAACAGCTCGCATACTTCAAGAGAAGGTGTTGCTGGGATTTGCCAGCAGCCAAAAGCGACGGCAAAACGGAAAAGCACTTATGCGGTTGACTGCCAAGCGGTCTACTTACACGGTAACAACTTCTTCACTCCATTCACGACCCTCTGCTTCCCGTCTTCCTCTGCAAACGCAACGCAAAGCCCGCCTCAAATGGCCTAGCATCGAAAACAGCAGAACACTGTCAGAAACTGCACGGTTTCAACAAATTACAACAAGTAAACAACTCCAAAACACGTCACACAGCTGGAAGCTGGAGAAATTACAGATAAATTGAAGTAAAAGGCTCGTAGTTATGGGAAATCCTGACCTCCGAAAAAGCTTCAAGCGTAGCGAAAGCCAAGGCCACGTGCCGCCGGTGTAACAAGATCACGTGACCCCGTGACATATGTCAGTTGAACAGGTTATGCAATCACGTTTCAAGATGTTTCATTGGCTAGAATTGAACACGTGACATGTCAAGCATTTTCAAGAAGCCGTGTAATGCTATTCACAATGTCACAATATTCATGTGAACAACAGGTACTAACAATATCACTACAATTTATTCAGCGTTATGACACAAGGAAAACCCGCAAGGGCTGCTGTTATGTTGTTATTGTTAATTTTACGGTATATAGTCACATGTAAATCTATTTACAGTCTCAAACTTGCAGTTGCAATAATTATTTTGTTTTAAATATGTCTTGATTTCCCCCTAACCAATCAAGTTATGGGTACAGATTGCCACACAAAGGGTTGCGATTTCGCAACATTTTCGATCGCAGGCACTACAGCTTTCCTTTTATAGAACAATTATTCTTATGAAGTGACGCGGAAATTGTACTTGTGTAGTTAGTTGGATGTTTATTTGTGGTCATGTATTCTACACTTAACAGTCTTACGGACTATCATAAACAAAGTTTAACTGCACATGGGGATACATGTATTGGGTGAGCTCAATTCTGACTCTTTAATAGTTCCTTAGCATAGCGTCGCATTCTTATCTTCCTCACTTGTCATTTCTTCACCCATGAATCAATCACGCGAGGTTCACGTCTAGTTACCCGCAACCAATAGACTTTTTCTGAGTTTTTCGTGTTTTTCTTTTTATCGGATAAAGAAATATCAGAGAGTCGACCAAATGATGTGATTCTTATGCTTCTTACCTTTACTGTACTGCCGACCCCGGGACTGCCGATCGACGGAGCTGTTCCAAAACCTCAGTATCACCTGAAGGCTGAGTAAATGAGTATAACAGACTAGTTTTGATATCATGAAGAAAATACTAACACGTTATTTTCATCATAAAAAAAACAACAACAAATAAATCATCTCGCGCCGTCAGTACCTCAAATGCAATCTTCCATTCTAATAAGACCTCGCACGCTGAAGAAACGATTAAAATTTCCTCGCATTTAAATACATGTATTTTGGTTAACACATTTCATTTTCAAGTAGAAAATTTTGAAAATGCCAGACAAGAAATAATAATGCAATAAATCGCGTAGAAGGGAATCGACGATTATACTAACCTGAGACGATTCAGTATTTCAAAATGTTCTTGGGGAGCAGGCCCCCAAGACTGAGATCGAGGAACTGTGTTTAATAAACTTTGTTCAAATATGACCTTCAGAGCACTGACTCCAAGCAGGAAATACACTTTTTAAATTGCTGTCACCTTGGCTTGGGACGTACTGTCACCTTGTACGTGAGTCCACCCGTCCGGTCAAAAACGTGATGGGAATCAGTTCCACGCAAGAAAGTTATTCCTTGTCAATATCTCCATTGAAAAGTTGAAAGTATTGGATTAACAGAGGACTTTCAACATCTTACAGCGTTTCGCTAGGATTCACACTGCCGTAACCGGAAGCGGAACATGGTATACGTGACCACTGCCAGTATGTTTCTTTATGATCAAACATCGCAAAAACGTGAGCCGATCCCTACCCATGTCATTCGTGGCGCTTAGAATGCCAAATGTGCTTGTATTACCTGGCCTTGTGGCAATACTGTTGCTGAAGGGACATAACTTTGTGGGAGGCAGAGAGCTTTGTTATGTTTTTCGCAACTGTGTGAGTATTTCTTATTTTATTTCAGTTCTTCAAAACGAGCATTGTATTATTTGAAAACTGCGCCAGCATTGTTCTTTTAATCATTTAAGAACCGTATAAAACTGAAAAACGTTCAAAATAATATTTTTTCTTTACCAGTCTTTCTTTTTTTTTTTGTTAAAAAAATATCCGGGTTAAAGTTTCAGTAAAATGCAACCACGACAGCGACAGAGAGGACAACTTCGATTGAAAACTGAATCAGTCACTGTATTGAAACAAAGGATCGCGCGATAAAATAAAGGTGTTCAATTTGTCTATCACTGATAGACCTATCTCAAAACTGAATATGTAAGACAACGTTAAATGCGAAAAATATATTCTAGCTGTAGTGTCTTACCTTCTCCAGACTACGCAGAATTTGGTCATTTCATGCCGTTGTTTTGCAGAGAACGGCAAAGAAATGTACCAAGGTTTATAACGCACGTGCAGAACCATTACACTCCCCATTGAAGCCTTTGTCTTGTGAGGTTCCGGTTACTGTCACCACGTGAAAAGAAAGGATACAGTTAGACGCACCAGGCTAACTCCCTAATGACGTACAAGGAGACTGGAAGAGAGCGGATGTCATGAACCTGGTACCCAGGTCACAAGCGACGACATTTTCACAGTCGCTGCAAAAGGCATCGTCTAAGGGTGAATATGTCACAAATGAACAAAAACCTGAAGTCATGAAATCATTTTTGCCTTGGACTGGGTAGATCCTGGACGGCCAATGTTCATCAATCAGTGAAATGATTCTTCATAGATGCGGCGCTTAATTTAAAACGCATCTGGACCTTTTGGGAATGTTTTCTAAAGTTTACAAGTGCTCTGATAGCAGTAAAGTTTCAACTGATAGATGGAGAGTTGGACAGCAATGCCTACACTGAACCTTATCGGAGCCGTTTCCCGTACTGTATGCACACTGATTTCTCTACTTATTTACTGATGGTTACTGCATTGTTGCAAACCTCACTGGATAATTGAAAATTGGTGATTTTATTTTCCTTTTGTTTACAACAGTTATGGAAAATAAATCAAAACTAAAATGAGAGAAAAACGCACGAGGCAGAACACCTCATACACAATAAAAGATGCAATAAAGATGAGTACCTGAGGAATATCAGTATAAGTAGATGATATCACGAGGTTCTATATCAGCCTGATGGCTGACCCCGTGGACTCGTGAGTAGCTACAGAGTATTTATAGAACGAACGTTCACGGGAAAAAATGTTAATTATGAAGTGAGATGACGCTGCCTTATGAAGATTAAATAATCATACCATATTACACATAATGAAAAGCTACAAAAAGGTTGATTAGGTATTCTGCACATCATTTTGAATCAAGTTTTAAACTCTCTTCTACGATCGATGAGCAATCTAGGATATGACTTTTTTTTTTCTTCAGGAATACCAGCTCTGTTGCAGTGAAGGAATTGTTCCTCTTTTACTGATGAAAAAAATCCTTTTGCCAGCTCTACATATTTACCGGTGAAGCTATTTCACGTACGTCGTGAATGAATGAACGAACGAATGAATGAATGAATGAATGAATGAATGAATGAATGAATGAATGAATGAATGAATGAATGAATAAGTTCTAAAGCAGTTGTGATAGAAAACTAATTTAGTGCAAGGCCAGGTGAACTTATCTCAGGCTGAAATCAGTCAGTCAGTATAGCTGCCATTTGGCGTAATTATAGTCTTGGTGTAGATTGCTCCGACAGATCTGTTATGGCTTTATCTAATAATCATGATCTAATCGCTATTAGTAGTAATCTAGGAGTGTCAATGGCTACGCTACTTGCCATCTGTGATTCTGTTATGGATAGTATTAGCCTGGTACTGTGCACTTGTTAACAAAATGTCGGCCTCTTCTTTTGCGTTTTCCAAGTGTCTGTGAAGAGGATTTAGTTAGAGTTTTGAACGACTAGTAGATTTATACTAAAGCAGTTAGATTATTTGCTCTGGATTTCTATGCGTGATCACTGAATCGGGCTGCGCCCTCGTCATCTATCACGCGATAGAAATCTCGAGCTCATAATCTAATTGTTAAGCGAATATGATGGGGCACATTCTTATCATATTATTACGGTCATTGCACACAAAAACTTAGCAATCATTGATTTAGCTAGAATTCACAGGCTTCACAAACTTCCTCAATAAATTGTTCTAACTGATTACTTTTGCTGGAAGTTAATTAATAGAATAGTTACTAGTAATAATAATAATTAATAGTTTGTTGTTTTCATATCAAAGGAAGAATCAAATGGGATTGGATGTGACCACTACTTAAGTATTGTATGGAAACATTCGTGTTCACTAAATTACTGGACAAGTTCTTGTTGGGTATGAAAGAAAAGGAGGATTTAATCAACCTGGGAAAGTTTTGGTGGTCAAGAGCAATCATTATCTGACCTCCTGTTGAGTTTAAACGGCTTCTTTAATTATATGTCGTGTAATATAATTCGTGCGAATTTTTTAATCATATGTTTAAATTATCGAGCTAATTTTTATACGCTAATAAATTATCGATTTTCCAGAACTTATTCGACAGTGACCACCACTGTGGAGACACCAAAACTTGGTCGATCGTCTTATGTGACGCTGGACTTTTCCCTCGTGAAAGCGGTATATGTAATCGGAACTCGACAACGGTAAATGAAACCAAGTAGGGGAACTGAACTCTGCCGGAGCAGCTCGCCTGACTAGCTTGAGGGTAGAAATCCGTCACTTAGTTCTGGATACCGGGATTCGCGGCATCTGGAATTCGAACAGATCAAGGACTCGCAGAAATAAGCTTCAACGTAGTTTTAATCCTCTTCTGGACGTAAATCCAAG